TCCACATCACGATCAGTGGGACCATAAAACTCTTGATGCAGTTCGTAATCTCTTCCCACGGGTTTTCGAAATAAGATGAAACTCACCAAACTTTTTTTTTTTTAAAAAGGCATTACTTTCCTTTACACTGTGATATATTCAGAATTCTTTCTAGTCTAATCTTTTTTATCTACCCAATTAAAGAAGCCTCTCAACAAAACACCACACTCCCCATTTCTTGTACATTTTCCTCGTCTTTGGACATGAACAAAATCTGAAGAAACCACGTATTCCCCCTGGAGTTCGCTTCCCTCAATCCAACACTTCACATCTCAACATTTCTCCAAACAACTACTTCCCAAGGGCCCAACTGTGGCATCTTCACATCGATACCACAAACACCCCAACTGCAGTCAGCGAGACCGACTGTGAAGAAATCACTGACTTGGGCACAGACACCAGAACCCAGTCCAAATTTCTTACGTCTATCAAACATTCTTTTTATCTCCTATACGTGAACAAAACTGTATTTTTCATTTGTATACATTCAGTGGAATAAAAGTGTAAAAACTACAAAAGAGGATACAATGGAATATATATATAACGCCATCCATTTTTTTCAAGGAAAAAACCCCTTCTTTCCTTACTTTGTGGACACATGACAAAACCAGTATTTATCTAAACTCTTCAGAAAGCTTAAAGTGACACTTCACAATTACAGTATAGTTCAGCTCAAAGACAAAGTGAAGAAAAGAAACTTCCTTACAATTCTTTATATAAACTTCCTCCTTGTTGCTCCATGTACCAGTTGCATTTGTATCGCTATTCCAGTTTGTCATAAACACAGTCACCTTGTAACCCTTTTTATCAAGCAATCTACGCACTACCTAAAAGTACACTACACTCCATCAGACAAGCTATACGTTTACATTATACAAACATTCCGATTCTGCCTGCTCAGCGCAGCTTGTCAATAAATGCAAGCAATTGCAAAACAGCAATGTGTGTTTTTTTTCCTTGAGAGAACACTGATAGGAGCCTGCCAGTTCTGCAAAATAAACTCTTTGCAATCTCTGCAGCTAATCTGTCAACAAATTACTATTAAAGTCATACCTCCTAAAAGTTCAAAAGCATTCTGGATGAGACAAAAGATACTGAGTTTTATACTCGTGGGGCAGTACTTGAAGTTACGGTATCAAAGTGGATCTTGCTATTGATGTGAAGAGGTTTGTATTTCTGCCACCATGCAATACAGCATTTGGTGTCTTGCTGCTATATATCAGAATTCAACTTTGTACTCCTTCTCTTTGTTCAATTCATATTCTTGTTTCTCTGCTAATAATGTGAAAAACACTTTAATGAATAGTCCTGAGGATAAAAATAAAACACAATAAATAATATTATTTTATAAGCTAAAAAAAAAAAGACCTGGCTGGGACTGAAGCATCAAACCTTCTATTTGAATAGACGTCAGAAACCACCGAAGCAACTAAAGCTGTGATCATGTACATTAAAAGGCAGTTTGGCCCCATGAGTCTTTATTTATTACTCCTTGGTAGGCAAGAATCACCCCATCATTACATACTTTCTGTCCGAGCTTCCCTCGCCCAGCCTGACTTTCAGCTTGTGGGTCACTGACACCCATTTTGCACCTCCCAGATGTTTTCCGTGATGCCTCAGAGCCAACAGATGTTGCCAGACTCTGCCTGGTACCCCGTTCCCGGGTTTTCTGCCCCGACCCCTCTGTGGGCACCTTGGGAGCAACCTCCTGAGCCCCACTGCCTGACCCCATGCCAAGTGCCAGCTTCTGATCTCTTTAGGAAGTCCAATGACCCAGGCAACCTTCATGCCTACTCCAGGTTTTATAGGCAGGTCACCAAAACCCTGCCCATTCCACCTCATACCTGACAGTCATTCCCACGAGATGCTGACCACCAGCACCTGCGGAGTCAGCAGCAGGAGGAAAGCAACCCCTCCCACCCCCAGCAGGTGCCAAAATACTGCAGGAAAGGGTTCTCCTTCCCTTTCAGTCTGGCTCTGGGGACGATTTCTCCTCTACGTATCTCCATTTTTATCCAACTCTTCCACAGATGTACTTTCCCTTAAGAGTCACTTGTATTGCTTTGGCTTTCTTTGAAAAGTATCTTACTTCATGATTACAAATACAAACGTCAGTTGGAGCTATTTGGTTTTATTATACATAGCAGAACTCATCCCCGCATTTGCTACTCCCAGCTTAACAGTACATTTTACAAGATTGCTAATGCTAAAATAGTTTACCATCACTCTCTGTCTCCTTGCATGGCGGAATCATCCAAAGATGACGTGGAAAGCGTGAAACTTGTCCTACGAGTCCTCCCTGCACTTACTACAAGAGTGCTCACACCGTACACTGTTCCTTCAAACATACGAACATCTGTGGTGCTCCGTATTTTTCCATGATAAAATATTTACAAGTTTGTAAACCCATTAAAACTTCCTAAAAAAGCTGAAGCATTTCTGTTTTCCTTTCCTCGTAGTAACAAAGCTAGTAGTCCTTATAAATTCATAAATGTCACAAAAAATGCGAACCAAAATTCAGCACAGATGCTTTACGCAAGCCATCGTACGTCCAGGTTTCACCGCGCAGCCACGCTCATCACGGGAACACACAACTAACCACAACGGCAAAGCTCAAACTACGCGCCACTGATTATATTTTTTTTTTTTCAGACAAAACAAGTGCCAAGTGGCAAAAAGAAAAGATTTGAATGAAATGCTCTTAAGAAATAGCTGTTTAATTCAGAACTCATTCATTTGTATTGACGAAGCGTTTTATAGAACGCATTCTGTTAAGTGACCTGAGAGCATATGTTGTATACGGAGAAACATCTAAACATTATGCTCCATGTTGTATGTGTATCTGTAAATGCTTGCATTAGCTGTCTGAAAACAACGGGTTTTTCTTCTTTTCAGCATTTAAAAATATTTTCCAAACACTAAGATTGATATTTTTATGCTAGCTCTGATTACCCTTTTGTTGTTATCAAGTCTTTTTTTTTGTTTTTATTTTTTTTTAATAACTGTTTTAAACTTTGCAATCAACTTGCTTTTTAAAAGATGAAACTCCACGGAGAAGTTAGTCATCAAAACCAATTAACAGCAGAATTCAAACACAGAACATAAAGGTCTTTAAAGAACTTGGAGAAAAGCAAGCTCCCCGACCACGTTTATTGTACTGGCAGAGGATAAATAAACTACAAGCTAAAATCTGAGCTGTGCGAAAGCAATCCCGAGCCTGGCAATCCTGCCCCCCAGCCCCGCGCCCTGCTCCCACGGGGGCTGGCAGCACTTGCGTCTGCACCGGGCACCGTTTTGGGGGAGGGCTGGAGGACCCGCGTAGGAATGAATTGGTGCCACTCCTTCACTGACCGAATGGACGGCTGTCGAATGACACAACCCATTACCCGTGAGATTACGACATTATCTAAGGCGGCGAGAGCCCTCTGGATGGCTACGGAGAAGCCTTGGCACAAGGCGCCGGCAGTGAAGGTTGGTAACTGGTGGTGGGAGCGGAGGAGCAGAGGTCTGAGCAGTTCTGGCCCACGGTGTGCACGTGTCTGCATGACACCCCCACCCCCCACCCCCCCGTTTCTCTCCACACAAAGCAGCGTTGGAAAATTCCATAGTGCTCCTATGGAAAACGCAGCGTAATTAACTCATTTTGATACGAAGCCTTTTTAAGACGAGACCTTTGTGTTGAACATATTTTACTGTTCCACTCCTCTTCTACTGTTCTATATTAATCAAAGCTGTAACCCCTGTTGTCTTTGCACTACGAATCAGAATGTGCCCCTGGCGAAGAATGAGGGAAAAGTCAACAGGAATTAAGTTTCAGTGCAACTGTTTACTCAACTGTGGCCTGCAGTTATTGAAATTTTATCCGTGGTTTTGTGTGACTACTGCAGTAATGAATTCAGCATGGCTGTGATTTTCTCACTGATGGTATTCTCACTTCAAGTAAAAACCTGTAGGACGAAAATGATTGAAACAACCAAAGTGTATGCATTTAGTACCATCCATTTTTCTGACTTGTTTAATTATGGCAGCTTTCTGTCTTATGTTGGCAAACGGGGTCCCCTGCTCCTCCGCAAGCCTTCGGTTTGCTTTGTTTTTTGAGTGCAGGTATTTTGTTCTCCGCAACAACCTGCTGAAAAGATCGCTGTACACTTAGGGGAGTCTTAACCAGCTGCCAATCGCTTATTTTAAAGGTTTTAAGAATGCTTATTGCATTAGAGAAAGTGCGGGTTAGGCGTAAGTGTATTCACCATGGCTCTACGGCAGCCTTTGTTCCCAAACACGTTAATGATACATGCCCAGCACTTCGGTGTAAAATTTCCTCCAAGTGTTTCAAAATTTTATCAGGGAAAAGAAAAAGACAAAACGTATTACACGGATAATTTACACTGGTGAACTTGGTCACTTCCCAGAAAATACACTAATTCAAATACAAAGGCAAAATGCACAATTGGGTCCCGATTCTTCTGAATTGAGGGTACTGACCCGGGATGTATTTATTTATTTATTCTGACGTTTTGCCGCAGCAGATACCTCCGCAGCCTTCCTCACTAATAGAAAACATTCTGTTGATAGAGGTTGCTAGGTGATATTAAAATTTGTTGCAAAAACAAAACTTAACTTTAGTGTATTTTCCACCCAGCGACATATTTTGGAAACCAGTTACTCGTATACAGCGGTTCACCCAATCGCTGCCACCAGACTCAACACATTCAGGCAATGGAAGCAAGCCCTGATCTTTGGGTATTCCCAGGGAATGATTAAAAAAGAGCCCCGGAAGAAAAGTCAATCGTTTCCCTTTACATTAATGACTGCAATCCCCGACGGACAGAAAAATGTACAGAATGCTGCAGGCAAGTCCTAAAAGCATCCTCTGACTGGCAAATACAAAGGGTTTGGGAGGGGGGGGTAAATGCTTCGCGCTTTTTCTGTAAGTAGGAAACTTGTAATACGTCTTACAGTACCTGCTGTTGTTGAAGATGTGCTAAATCTGCAGCCCCAATTTCAACGGAAGGTGTCTCGCCGTTTGATCTCACTTCCCGCAGGCTGCACTCTAGTAAATGGTTGCCACCGCTCGCTCCATTCTGAATGGCTGAACCGTTACTTTTTGTCTCAGTCCCAGATTCTTGCATCATGACTCAAAAACCTAAAATAATTTGGGGGGGGGGGGGGGGGGGAAGAAAAAAAAAAAAGCAGCTGTTAAAACAGTTGCTGTATATAAGGAGACATGCCCTGTTTTAAATCCTGCCAAAACTGTAAACATTTGTCATTTCCCTTCATGCGATTTATCTTTCATTAATGGTTCATGCTACTAGTTTATGTTTATTTATCTGTTGGTACAGCTATAATTTTAGGAAGTTAGTTCTGTTCTAAATATAGTATTATTTGCTTAACGTCTTTTTTCCCTTAGAGAAAAAAAAAATATTTTTTAACAAACACACAGAATCCATAATTAAATTTCTCTAGTTGCATCTGGATGCTTTCCTTTGAAACGGGTGAGTCATTCTTTGCAACGTATGATGGACAACATCAACAACTTGATATACACTGTGTAGGGGCAGGCAGGTGAGGCAGAGCGTTCGCTATTTCGGTTTCCATTCACGCCGTGATAGTGCTGAATTAGCACCTTTTATTACTCTGAAGCAGTTTAGGCTAAGTCTGGGATGTGCTGGACACCATCAGTTTTCGTTTGGGGCAAGCTGCTTCAACTGCGCACAGAATTAGTCCTTTTGGCAAATTTCTTGGCTATGGATTTGGTCTGGCTTTGGACGCACTATGGCATTACAGCGAAGAACCTCCTGCGTTATTTGGCTAAACGTCATCTTAGTAGCCACAGCTATTCACAGCCAGCCCTCTCGACTCTTGGTGGATGCCTGTCCCTGGGTGCTTTACAACGCTGCGCTCATCAGTTGTATCGGCGGGTCACAGGCCCCACAACGAGGATGAGTCCCTGCTCGCCTACCCCAGAACTCCTGGGATTCACACGTCTTCGGGAACTAACTGCCAGCATTTGTACACAAGACCCCCCCAAAACAAAGCACATATGCCAGTTTTCAGCTGCAAACCGCTACCTTTGAGTTATTTTGATGAGTTGTTTTATAGGTGTTTCCACCTGCAAGGCCCCAAGTTCCAGGATTTAAATGTCAGTAACCTGCTCTGCTTGCGCCAGCCCATCCCTCCCTCCCTTCGTGCTCCCCCTCCCACCCTTACCGGGGGGAGACGGGGTACGGTAAGCCAAGCTGCACGCTCCGAGCACGTTGCCTACTCCACACTAACCCACCACGTGCACACGTGAGCCAAATGCCTCTGTGCAGGGTAGTTCACCTTGAAAGTAAGATTCTTTATATTTAAGGAAGAACCTGTTTGAATTCAGTAGCTACCCCGAATCAAAAGGAAGAAGAAAAATCCCTTCCTTTCAAACATACAAGGGAAAATATCAATCAGAAAGGGTGAGAGAAAGCAATGCATTTCAATGGAAAAGTACCAGGGGAAAACCCTTTCCCTGGGAACTCCACACGTGCGCAGTTTGGAGCCCCTGGCCGCCAAAGGCACAGTACGGGCTGGAGACAGAAATTGCTCCTTCCAGCACCGGCCCCCCGGGTGTCTGCTGGCCCTAGGTGACATTCAGCATCAGGCCCCGCGCGTAGAGGTACGCTCCAGCCCAACACACCAATACCAGACCTCTCATTCATTTGGTAGCTTCAGACGTCGATAATGATGATCCATACGGCTGATAATCAAAATGTCATAACTGAGAAGCAGCTGACTAACGAGGGCTTTGTCACCACCACGCTCCGGTGTTAGCACTCCTCGCTGATTCACGTCCAACATGGGTGAACCTGATGGGATCTATTCACGCTGACGGCCGCCCAAGCACACGGACGGTGCTAGGACAGATTCAAATGTTCTGATTACATTTAAATAAATTTCAGCTGGTCTATGGAAACTTCTTTCAGTCTGTTTTGTGAGATCTTCGAATTATGCAAGGGGACAAAAGGGCTTGGGGGCTCATTATAAAGCTTCTGTCAACTCCCTTATAAAAGCTCCAGAGATCTAAACTAACCTACAGCTTTCCCAATGCCACTAGCAAATGCTTTTGGGTTTTAACATGATCCTGCTCTGACACAGACTGAGCAGGGTGTGTTTTTCATTTTCGGCACTGTAAGGAAAGCCCACAAGCATGACAAGGTCTAAATAGGCGTTTACACCTAACACACAAGCCTGGATTACACACCGGGCAGTGACTGCATGGCACAGGTTGCTTTGGAAGAAGAGACAGGAGTGAGAGTCTCCAGACAGCTCACAAGTTACTCAAAGTTATACCATGCAATTTTTATATGCTACACTATTAAAAAGGACACACCTCTTTTAACCAGAGATAAATCAAAAAGGAAGAACTGATGTATGCAATTGTTTTCTGCTTCCATCCAAATTTGGGGTCAAGCCTCAACTGGAGAAAGTAGAGCATGACATTGATTTACCTCAGCAGAAGATCTGGACAAGGATGACCACCACGTAAGATTGAGTTAGCAGGTTGAACCCAGAGACTCATGTCTTTGACTGCTGTGATGCTCGATGGCAAATGGTGGGTGGCACGTCACCACCACGTAGACCACACCCGACGGATGAAGAACATATTAAAGAACTAGTGGAAGGTGCCTCCAGCAGATACCATGTGAAAAGAGATGCTAAAACCAATGTGCCCAAGCAGTAAAGAACTACATTTCATTCTCCAACACTTCTGATGCAACAAATTGACTGGAAGCAAGAACCCACATAAACTGCTAAGGAGGGTCAGAGAAAGCACCGACCAAAGCTCCGAGATGCCTCTGACAGCAGCAAGAAGAATGCGCACCACTGAGGAGCAGATCTATCACTGCCTGATCACGATTTGTTGGCTTGCCCTTCTGAGCAAAATATCTCCAGGACACAGAAAATAATTCACAACCAAACTGGTCAAGAAATTATTTATTGTCTCTAGGATTGCAAAACGCTCCTGGAAGGAAACAACAGTAGAAATTGCTACAATTTTTCCAACCTATAGGGTTGAGAAAAAGATGGATTATTTATAGCATTTGGTCACAAAAAGATCATCGTTCCTGAGAACCTTTTCCATGACAAATTTCACGCTCTATTTTACCCTTTCAAAGTACCCCAGCCAGTTACCACCTGAGCTGCAGAGGGCCGGCCCCGGCCCCTCCACTGGCTGTGCCCACCCTACGTATCGTATCCAGCAGGATCGGCAGCAGCTATCAAGGAAATGGAGCTGGAAACAGAGTTTGCAAAGAGAACATCAAAAGAGCGAAAAGAAAATTGTGATGTTTCGACTTTCAAAAAATCAGTTTAAAAGCAGAAGCGAACATCTTTCAGTAAATTTTGCTTTAAAAACACCCATTCACAGGCAGTCAACTTCAATATAACTTCAACTGGACACCAATACAAAACAAATCCACTTTGCTAAAATACTTCCAATAGAAAACAGGATTTTCAAGGGAGAAAAGATAAAACTGTTTATTTCTTCACTGTAGTCAAATGTGAGTTGACATAAATAATCACAGTTTGGTTTGATCATTAAGCGTCACGTCATGAAAATCAACCTGCGAGAGCCTTCTGCAAGAATGATTATTATTTGTCTTTTTGAGCACACCTAAATGAGCTGAGGTGATAGTACACGGAGGATGGCTGAGATAATTGTCTCTCCTCAGCACAGAGGAGTGGGCCTTACAGAAGCCTATTAGTGAAGTCTGTCATTCAAAATTGTGAAAGAAAAAAGCAAAGCAAGGTTAACTTCATGCAACGTGATTAGGTTCTGTGGGAACTGAAATGAAGCTTCAGGTCTACTACCACAAACTGTGATTCTGGTCTGAACGCAACCCCAAGTAACCAAAACAGTGCTGAAGAAGCTGTTATGCATAAGGATTTATTATAGGAAATACAGTACTCCACAAAAGCTTCCATGACATACAAGATACCATGTTCTGACTTAAATTTAATGGCAAAAGAGCACGCCCATCTCATGCGTTCTGCAAAGCAGAATGACTCTCATATCAAGTCTGAAAAGGAAAATGTATTTTTACAGCTTAAAATAGATGGGTTCTTACCAGTATAAGTAGCTTTTTTTTTTAATAAAAATTCTACAATAGTTCACGTTAGGAGGGATAGAGAATGACTCTTAAGATTATTAAAGGTGACACAAGATGTTCTTCCCCTACAAAGGGACCAAAGCTAAGCTGCAGTATGAACAACAACTTGTAAAATTTTATCCTGAAATCAAGGAGCATGTAATAAAAGAACTGTTCTTATGAGACTTAATGCTTGGTTTAAAAATCTCACAACAGTGATCAGTTTCTCAAGATTCCCATCTTAACCCGCACAAAACCTTTTCTAGCTTTGATGCACAGTCAAATACAAAGCCAAAGCCATACAATTTGGCCCATCTCCTTGGTGAATATGTTACGTTCCAGGTAATGGAATAAAATTTCAGTGGAGTGGAATCAAAGCAAGGCATTCTGTCAATAGGAGGACAACAGCTAATCATCTTCCAGATGACTTGGACAGAAGTAGGGGACAGCTCATTTCTCAAGGGCATGGTCAAAATTGAAAAAACATAGGTCGGATGTGAACTTTGGCTGAATCAAAATCATCTTTCTGAGGACTCCAGTGTCGGTGTTTTGAACTAAAAAGACAGAACCCGAAGGAATCCTAATTTTGAAAATGTTCTGGGCTCATCCATTTAAAGAAAAAAAAAAAGTCCATAACATCACAAAGACCAGATGCTGCGGATACACGTCTCTCAGCTCCACTGGACTATTTAGATGAGCAAGGTTAAGCATGGAGATTAGCAGGCAGGAGGTGGGCACTGAAGTGTGCAATTTCTGCAATTCTTCTACTAGTATAGTTTCTAAAGACTAAGCAGCATTGTTTCATGTCAGCATGAGGGAGGATTTACCGACTGAAGCACCCGCCAGAATAAGGACCCACTGCAAGTCTGAAAGACTAAGGGACTGATACTCAGATGTATTTAGATGCCTCGCCATACACGGAGGCATCTGGTGAGACATTTTTAAGACTCCTGAATAAGCACCAACCTACATCTTTAAGCACCTCATCACCTTTAAAAAACCATCCCTGGGGTCTTCTGGGCCT